TGTCTCTATTTATCAATAGTCTGTTATTTGTCCACTGTTCATTTTCTATTTTCTCCTGATGGTTAGTCAGCAGATCAAATTGTATACATAGTCTCCCCGGCATTTAAAGTGTGTTCAATACCCGGGTAGGCTCCGTAAATGTCATATCAATATTGTAACTTGTACTTTGTAATGGTCTGTACGTATAGACCTGGATAAAGTTTTTTAATAGGTCTTTTTCAAAGTGGTTGATTTAAGATGTATAACACAGAATGTTTCAAAGAGTAAAGACGAAATAAAAAACAAACTAAAAGAACAACAAACAAACTGAATAAAGAATGAGGATTCTGTCGATAGTTGAGGCCTGTCCCCAGACAACGATATTATATGACAGTCCGAGTATATTAACGCATAGTAGACACTAATTAATATTTCACGGCTTATACAATTTTTTAGACTATCTGATGACGAAAGCACCTTTATTTAACTTTTTGCAAACCCTGTGGATATCGGTTTCCCAGTTCAGGTGGCATTCCACCATTAAGCCCACGAAATTTGTAGACAGAGAGAGCTCGATGTTGTGGCCATTAAGGGACACATTAACATTACAGGATTGTTTTCTCACAGATCTTATATTCATAGCTACAGTTTTATCGTGATTAATAATTAGGTTGTTTAGATTACAGGAGTTAGTAAACTCCCGGGACAATGTATTCACCTTCAGTTGCAATTCTTTTTCAGATACAGCAAAAACTACTGCAGTAGTATCACCCGCGTATAAAAATATTTCGCCTTCAGTGATGTTGTCAAGTAAATCGTTGATGAAAAGCAGAAAGAGCAGGGGTCCGAGAATACTACCCTGTGGGGTACCGATATCTTGATTATAATAATCGGAGACTAATTCACCAATTTTAACAGCAAACCTACGACCTGATAAGTAAGAAGAGATAAAAGAATTAATACTACCCCTCAGTCTGATATGTTCCATTTTCTTCGTAACAAAGATTTTGTCAACTGTATCGAACGCACGTGTCAAATCAAATGATATACAGAGCACAAGGTCCTCTCTGTCGAGTTTATCGGATATGTATTGAAATAGGTCAATGCAGCCCGACTCTGTAGACATACATTTGCGAAATTCATGCTGCCTGTTACTTCGAATGTTATACTTCATGATAGATTTACATATTCGGTCATACACGATTTCTTCAATAATCTTAAAGAAGATACTCAGTAATGACAGTGGTCTATAATTATCAAATTCTTTCGTCTCTTTTTTTAAATATCAGCACTGTTATGGCTTTTTTGAGACCATCGGGAAACGTGCCCGGTACAAACTGCAATGTTAATCAAATCAGCTAAAAAAGAAGAAATACAGTTTCTTGATATGACTAACCGCGTACAGACCGAAAGTCCAATGCCGAGCAAACAAATGCAAGCACATGTGACGTTGTCGTTTGCTGTTGGAAGGAATTGGATTGCGCTCGTCTACACCTAAATTTAGTTTCGAGTTGGACCGGGTTGGGTTAATTTCAGTGCTAATGTCGAGCATCGAGTCTCCTATTATCGAATGCAGACAAACGACTGAATACTAGAAGCGCAACAAATCCTGTCCAGACCAGATCAAACCTCCCTTTGATGGGGGAGCGAATGCAATCGAACGCTAACGCAGTCCACACACCGATTCGAACACCTCCAAGTCTGTAACCACATGTGCCTTGGCTTGCGTTGAAATTTCGGTCTGTACGCGGCTTTACAGATATCTGATCAAACGCACACGGATCTTTATACCGGGATGCCATAACAATTTGCTCTATTGTAACGAATTCATAGTAAAAGGAGTTTGGATCATGCCTGTTTGGAATTGTACATGCTTGAGAAAGATGCCCGTTGAAATACGAGTTGAGTTTACCTGGTACCTGCTGGGAAAAAGCTAGGCTATTTGTTTAGGGCTAAGAAGTACTTTTCTCCGCATGACCTTCTCACTCTATACAAGGCCCAGATAAGGCCTAGCCTCGAGTATTGCTCACACATTTGGGGCGCTGCCGCCCCGACTACATTGTCCATGCTCGATGCTGTCCAGAGGAGGGCGGTCCGACTGATCGATGACTCTTCTCTAACAGACAGTCTCGGGACTCTTTCGCACCGGCGGGCCGTCGGCGATCTAGCTCTTTTCTATCGCTACACCAACGGGCTTTGCTCCTCAGAGCTCTCTTCCATGATGCCGCCGCGCGATGTGCCTGCCAGACCGACCCGCCTGACTTCGGCGTCCCATCCTAACCGTGTCAAACTTCGTACATCCAGAACTGGCCGATACGACCGCTCCTTTGTCCCGAGGGTGTCTAGATTGTGGAACAAACTACGGGAGGAAGCTTTTCCCAGTTCTACTAACCTTAGGCAGTTCAAAAATCGTATTAACAAAATTTCTTTGGGATCATCATAGCAGCCGCGGTGTTCCGGCATTTAGGCTTCTGCCTGCGCGGCTGTTTCGATATAAAAAAAAAAAAAAAAAAAAAAAAAAAAAAAAAAAAATTCAAGATGCTCTCCGAATAATAGAGCTACATGATCGGGATCAGATACGATACTGCTATCGATAGCTACACTAATATTTTTGTCCCTACTAATTTCTTTACAACGAAATTTATTGAATATTGACCACGTAGTTTTAGTTTTATTTCTTAAATGAGTGTTGAGTTGATGTTGATGTGCAGCTTTTTCATTTTTAATTTTTTTACTGACGTCTTTCTTTCATATCAAATATCTTTGCCTAACGACTTCACCAATGTAGTTATTTTTCATCCAATTCAGTCTGTCGAGGTTATTTATTTTTATTATAAGTTTGTCAGAAAAACGCATTTTTTCCTTGCTTTTTTGTTTCTAGATAATCGACTAGAGCTGCGGAGCTTTTTATTGAGCGCAGATTTCAATTTGGTTTTTTAGGATAATCAGTGGGATTGTTGGTATTATTATCTTCTAGAGGCCTATCGGTTACAGGGGTGGGGACTAGAGGTGTTGAAAAAAGTAACTATTCGTTACTCATAGACACCCAAAGTAACGAGTATCAATCCGAGCACGAAATTGTTACTTTGATTACTCTGTTTACTGTATCCGTATCCGCGTACAATCGTTGATCTTTGATTGGCAACGCTGGTTTCTGTCATCTTAGACATCACTGTAGCGCTGCCGCTCATGCATCAGGCTTGCAGACATCCCACATTCGGGTGGAAACCTGGAAACTCTAGATTTAAAAACAATGATCAAATTCTATGTCCGCCAATAGAAAAAAAGGTTTACCGATTTACACCGTGACTCAAATTCGCTCTTATTGTTGCGATCTTCGCAACCTGAAACAAAATCAGGAGTCGATTGGATTGGAGAAAAGTTCGGCAGTATTATGAGCCAGAAAACCTACAACAGGGTATAGTAAAATACCAAAATTGATGACATAAGCGAAACTAATCGTACGCCATCGCTTTTACGCGGACGCCTTCGAAAATGCGGCGCTTGTTTGTGAAATGTCGGCAACCGTCTCTGTAATCAAAAGGTACCGCGTCAAAGCAGTGGCGCACGATGACTTCTGCTACTGTCATCACTTCTGGTATTTGACTATAAGAACCGTTCAAGAAAACCACGATAATAAAAATTATGTCAATTTGAGTCGTGTTTACTTTTCCCAGATTTTGCTAAAAATTTATAATTCAGTATGACCACCAACAGTATGTAACTTAAATTAACGCTACCAAAATTCCTCTTTTTTTTAAATTTATTTCGATAAGCGGTACTCAAGGACTTTTAGAGGATCCTTGTCACGTAAAACAAGACGGTTAGACCAAAAGTGACAAGATTTCCTGACATGTAGAATTTGTACAATGCAGTAGAAATATAATATGCTGATATAAAGGAGGTTAACATGGGAACATCGAGGCGCGATAACATTCCAGAGCGTTCCGACAATGCTCGCTAGAAATTAAAGTACATGGTATGAAAATTATAATATTATATAATGTACAGGGTGACTATGGATATAACTCCTGCCCTCTTAAATTATAAATGGCCTTTATTCGTCACATGATTACAAAATAATTGGCTTAAGAGGAATAGTGACGAAAAGGTGGAGTGTCAGCTTATACTGTTTTTCAACCCGACCTAAAAACAAAATTAACACAAACTATAAAGAGAAACAAAAATACCTACATTTAAATGAAAGATTTGCCAGCATTCAGTTTTAGATTGTGAGCACTAGAGAAGTCAAAAATGGACTGCAGATCTTGATTGATTTGATGTTGGCCAAGCATATATTCATCAGGATCAAAGCTGTTATAAAGTTGGGTATCATCGTCATATTGATGAACGATTGAGTAGCTGGCTGTTTCATGAAAATCACATACATAAAGAGCAAATAAAAGAGGACTCAAAATAGATCCTTGAGGGACACCAAAATTTCTGAATAAAGAATTTGATATATTGTTTTCATATATGACAGACTGTGAGCGATTAGTTAAGTAGCTTTTAATCAACGTGCAAGCCGATGAGGACAGGCCAAAGTATCTAAGCTTTTTACAGGGAATATTTGGCTCAACCGTATCGAAGATCGTAAGATCAAGAAGAACTGAGTAAGACAGCTTTGCTTGATCAGCCGCGCTATAAATATGATCCGATATAGACAGGAGCGCAGTGGTGGTGCTATGTAATGGTCTGAAACCAGATTTTGAGGTGGCCAGTAAATTATTTTGACAAACAAATGTGTCCGGCTGCTCATGTAGAGCCATTTCTAAAAGCTTAGATAGACTTGGTAAAATGCTTATAGGACGAAGATCAGAAAAACTTGAAGGATAATTAGACTTAGGCAGAGGGAGAACAAGAGCATTCTTCCAGGATGAGGGATAAAGATTATTTGTTATACAAAAGTTAATAATGAAGGTAATATGCTTGAGCAAATGCTTATGTATTATACGGATCATATCAACTGTGATGCCATCTGAGCCTTTAGCATGACCTTTGATGCGATTGATAAATTTCTCTACAGTGGCAGGGGAAACTGTCGTGAACAGAAAAGTACCATTATTCTTGACGTTTTCATATTTGTCTAAAAGGTTTAATTGGGTTAATGTTTTGGTTATTTGAGGTACGTTTAAAAAAGCACGATTTAATGAATCGAGATCCTGAAGATGTGGAGGTAGACTTATGGAGTTATGTTTAACGATATTCAAAGATCTGAGTATATTCCATGTAGTCTTCGAATTTTTCTGTCTCATAACATAATCAAGGTACGCTTTTTTCTCTCGCCGAATAGCACCACAAACATAATTTCTGTTTTCCTTATAGAATTCTGTCACCAATAGATCTTGTATTTAAATTGTTTGTATGCGTCACTTTTTGTTCGCATCATCAGTTTTATGTTGAATGTTCGCCAAGGAGCTGGTGGCTTGGTAACACGAATTTTTCTGACAGGAGCATGCAAGATGAAAGGTGCACAAGATATTAGAGCTCAGGAAGTCAATCATTTGATCCACATCTCTCAACGTATATATAAAATCCCAGTTTATTAAAAGTAAATCATGGTAAAAATTGTCTAGACTAAAGGTAGTGTAATCACGATATGTCCTCAGCTTACATAGGTTGAACATCTCCGATGCATCTACGTAAAATATTAGATGGTCAGATATTAAATCTACGTCAACTACTTCATATCAGCAGAGCTAACCAAGAGCAAGTCTATAGCTGTCTGACTATTGGAAGTTATACGTGTGGGCTCTTTCACTAACTGGGACAGATCAAAGGACTCAAGAAAACAGTTCAGTATCTCGGATCGGCCGTCGTTCACTAAGACATTGATATTAAAATCGCCCATGATAATTGCGAAATCATTATCCAGTGAAAGGTTGGCTAAAGACTCAGTTAATTGATGAAAACAATTAAGCACGTTTGCTGATGGTGGACCGTAGACTTCAGCTAGACAATATTTGCGTTTATTAACCTTTACAGAGATTCAAAGTTCTTCCAATACTGTGGTGATATTAGATTGCAATATTTTGAAGGCAACACCATTTCTCACATAAAACGCGACGCCTCCGCCTCTGTTATTTAGATCTGCTCTAACGACATTGAAGTCGTTGATAAATACTGAAGAGGTATCAATGACTGGAGTTAGTCTTCTAGCGAAGTTGGTTTGGATCTGGTGAAGGATTATTCTTAAAGAGGAGCCAACATATTTTGCAAGTAAAATGAGTATAATCACGTGATAAATATATTAGATCTATACAGAATATGGAATATGCAATAATAATAAAAACACCAGGATAAACACAGAATAATAAATCGATAAAGCAAGGTATAGGAAGGCGCTCAGCGTTCGTAAATTCACACAAAAAAGACACAACGCAAGCACACACAATAGTTCAGTTACTTCGAAGTACTGCGTAGTTTAGGCCCTTTGTGTGAGGAAGTAGGGGTACTACTTTTAGATGAGCCTGCTGGAACTATCTTGTTGACCTTGCTTGGTTCATCTTGCAGTCTCTTTTCCCCACTTTCCGTATCTTGAGGGATCAGTTGTTCTTCGGCATTTTTTTCCTGCTTAGAGATAACTGTCTCAATGATTCCTTCGTCAATATCGTCATTCTGTAGCTTTTCCCAGGTAAATGCTTCACCATTGACATAAAGAATATTGTTTTTAATAAACGCTGAATTAGATGCTTCTCTGGATTTCTTCAGGTGCTGATGAAATAATTTTTTCTTGGCGTATTCTTCTGGAGTGTAATCGTTATCGACAAACAGGCCAACATCTTTAGGAAGTTTTGTTGCCTTCTCCAAAACTTTTTGTTTTACGTTGTAATTAACGAATTCGACGACAAGTGGCCTACGGGACTTGGGGAAGTTTGAAATTCTAATTTTTCTTCGATAGTACTTAAAGTATTTTCCGTAGGCCCCTTATCACTTTCCTTTACCCCATAGATGACTATGTTACATTTTTTCAGCTTATTCTCTAGATTAAGGATTTTGCTTTCAATAATGAGTTTTCCTCTTCGATATCTCTGTATCTATTATTTATGTTGTATATTTCTTTTTTGGCTTCAGTAACAGTCTCGCTCAAGCTACTAATTTGTCCCTTGAGTTCTTGATTACCCTCTTTGATCAGCTTGTATACGTCCTCGAGAGTTATCCCTGTTGTAACCATCATTTACGTGATCACTACCAGTCTATCTTTGTGGTCTCTTTATCTTACGGTAGTGTGTTCTGTCGCCTAGGGACTGACATATATTTCGCTGGAACTTTTTCTATAGCTTCTTAAAAAAATTGGCAAGCCGTGGGCGTGACTTATATAAGTGGGGAGTACCATATATGGATTATTTGTACACAAATTTGACCATGCAGAAAAAAATAAATTGCGTTTACTTACATATGCTTTCGAATAACCGTGTAATTCTTGTACTAATCGCTTAAGGCCACTTGATCACATCATAGTGTTATAACAACAATAATTATACTTTGGTTAAACCCACACTTTGACGCGACCTCTAAAATTTCAACCTCGAAATTCTTAGAACGTCCTCGTTCTTATCCATCTATCTCATTAGCGTGACTTGTCTTTGGGGATGATTCTTTTCTTTACAGAACTTCTTAAATTTTATTACGAGCGCAATCGTTATAACAATAAGTACACCTATTATAAGAGTGATATTAACATGAGAATGGTAGTTTTTAAACTTAACTGGTACAATTTCTTTCATCTTGTGCAAGTTATCTTTAATGTCAGAAAAATCATTGCTATTAATGTGGAAAGTATCTATCGTGTGTGTTGGCTCTAATGTAAGATCGGAAATATTGAAATTTGATGCCTCCACTGGGATAACAGTGGCCCGGAGGACATATGATACATCGTTTATAACCAGTGTGCAGTTACTTCTACCAATTAAAAAAATAGGTTTGATTTCGCCATCACGTTTTTCAAAAACGGTAATTTTTATGTTACTTGAAAATAACACTGCTGCAGTACTCTCAAGCAGATATGTTAAACTTAAAGAGTTCCGGGCCTTCACAATATTACATTGGTCAATTGCTCGGGGTGTGCATTTTTAATTGGTTGCAGTTTCACAAATAAATCGGTTCATGATTTTTTATTTGGATCAGGACAACCTTTAATCGATACCTCATTATGCAAAAAATATTTATGATAAAAAATTACTAACATGGTGTTACTGTTTAGCAAAGGATATCACTTTGTAACTTATACTTGGTGGTATCTAAAATTGGTATTTCGACTGCACATAAAAGGATATCATCGGTATAAATAATACTAGTTTTCCTCAGGCTAAGAACTTCGAAAGGATGAGTTTCGTCTAACAGAACCATATTTTTCTTCGAATAAATCGATATTAGGTAATCTTCAATATGGGCCAGTTCCTGAAGACTAAAACTAGCTACATTTGTCATTTTGTTTCTGTGATAAGAATATTGTGCTTTGGATCAGTCTGAGATAATCCAAAATTTCTCGTAAAGGAATGAATAGTCTAAAAATTGAACTTTCATATTCGTAATCATAAATTGACTTCTTGACAGTTTCTGACAGCAACTGTACATTATTTTGGATAACTTTCATGTCAGTCTCAAATTTCTGCGAAATGAGCTGAGCGAATGATTTTTGATTATTGATGTCTATTATAGGTTCGTTCTCCTTGTCTTTTAGTGAATGAGATTTGTCGTTGATTTCTGTAAGATCACCTTGGTCTAAATTTCCTGTCACATACCTGATTATGCTGCCAAATCCGTTAATAGTGGCTCGAATACTATGTGAACGATAAGGTTTTAAATATTCCGCTTTTACATTACTAAGTTCTTATATAGGTCCTCTAGTACCGGTTTTAGATTGATATCATTAGAACTGTTTACTAAGATTCTATAACTAATATCTATCGTTTTAATAACATCAGCTATTAAGGTGAGATTATGACTTAGAATGAATGTACGATAATGGCTTATTAGCTTTGCATCACCTCATGGTTCCGGGTAGAAATCATTATTGGTTGGGACTTGCTGAAGCGTCATCGGAAGTCCCTGCGGTCATAGGGTTGCCAGTAGCACGATCGCACGCTGAACGTTCATGGGGAAAGTGGAAAGCACGCTCGTCCTCTTCCTGTTTTCTTCTTTCTTTGGCTACACTAGTTTCTAAAATAGACTGGTTGTGCCGCTAAAGATTCAGCACACCCTCCAAGCTGCACCGCTCGTAATATCTAGCTTTTTCGGAGTTCTGGAACTTTAGGCCTATGTCCAATGCCATTGGTCCTTGGTACCTTCACCCTGCTGTTGATTGTTGCTGGCTGTGGATCCCTCCAAGAACTTGAAAGTTCGCGTGTCTACGACTGGTGATTTCGGCCTGCCAATACTATGCTCGATGGCCTCGAATTCGGACGCCGAACGAACTCGTCTCTTGTTCCACGGCACGCTGAGGGATTCCGGTTGAGCCCCCAGTTAATTGATCGCTACCAAAATTCCTTTTTTTAAATAACTTTATTTCGATAAGCGTTACACAAAGACCTTTAGAGAAACCTTGTCACGTCGATGCGTAAAATAAGACGGTTAGACCAAAGGTGACAAGATGTTAACATGGGAACATCGAGAGCGTCGCGATAATGCTCGCCCATGGATATAACTTGTATAGTGTAAGCTTCACGTAGAATTTTCTATGCTGGTACATGCTTCATTGAAATGCTTCGAAAAGTTACTTGCCATTCCGAATTTCCTTAAGCCCATATAAAAAGAAGATCTTTCTAACTAAAAGACATGCTTTTTAAGTATTTCCAGTAAATACAAAAAATTTTCAGTTTGTAGGCTCATATGAGTCTTATGACACCCTTCTTATAATAACACATCTCATTTTGCGTAAAGTTTCAAGATACAATATTTGCATTAAACAGGCAGATTTGAATAAACTATACTTGACAGCTAAGGTTGTCTATTTTCTTACATTCGGTTCCATTGAAGTTGTTCAAATTCGATCACTATTAATTACACAACGCAAAGTAAGACACAAAAATAAATAATTGAAAATTACAAAATAATGTAAAAATGTAAACACTGTAAAAGGAAAACTAGTAAAATTGCAAAATACGGATTGCAAAAGTAAAATAAGAAAAATACAATGTCTGAAAAATGAAATTATGATTATTAAACATTGGCGTTGCAGAACAGCATCTGAATATAAAAGCAAAAGCTGGAACAAATAAACGTTAAAATGTAAGCGTACAATAGCACGAGAGAATAACAGAGAATAAAATTGGATAATAGTTTTTCGTACAGTGAAAACACTTCACAGAACACTCGCTGTAGTTCAATGTCTTCTTCCAGTGGCTGGAGGGTTGGTCTTTGGCGGGGAAAAAGTCTAAGAATGTACCTGACTTTCGATGCTCCTGGAGGCGGGCCATCGGCTGGATAGTCCGGTGCACGGATACTGAGTGGTCGTCGTTTTCGGTATTTGCAGAACAGGTAGCAGCATGGCTATTAAAGGTTAAATTTGAGTCTATTATGACTCCTAAATATTTATACTTGTTAATCTGTTTAATCTTATTATTTTAAATTATAAATCCGTCGTGCAGATAAGTATCCTGAACATTAAATTTAGATTTCAGTACCATACACTTAGTCTTGTCAACATTAATACTAAGACTATTGTTACCTAACCAGGTATATAATGTCTTTAAGTCTTCATTAATCATTTTAACCAAATTGTCTATGTTGTCACATTCCATGAACAAAATTGTATTGTTTTGCAATTTCAATATCATTTATATACAGCACGAAAAAGGAAAGATAAGGAGTTTTTGTATTTTGTTCGCTGAGTTCTTTGTTCCGAGTATCCTGAGAACCATCTTAAAACGTTGCCTTCAAAGCCATATTCTTCTAGTTTTTTCATCAACAGACTTCTATTTATTGTTTCGAATGCTATCCTAAAGTCTATAAACCCACATAATGACCCACACTCAAAACATTTTTCCATCCTGAAGTACCACTCTCACATGAAGGGTCCTTCCTAAAATCTGCTTGGTATTTTGTAAGTAATTTATTTTCTTCTACGAATTGACGTAATAGTTGATTGACAACAGTTTCTAGAAGTTTTTCATATACAGGTACTATATTAATTGGTCTATGCTCTTCACATTTTATTGTTCCACTTACGTTTTCTATCGGGATGACTGTTGACATTTTCCAATCCTGGGGAAAACATCCTGTTTCCATACTGGAATTTATAAGCTGGAGAAATCGGTTGCCTATGACTTCAAAAGCCAATTTCAAGATTTTGGTATTAGTTCCGTCAACACTGCTATTATATTCCATGCCTCGACTCGTAAATAGGGTACCCATTGTATTGTATCTTCTATACTGCGTCGATCACACACTTTCAAGAAAAGGACCATACCCCGCCCGGCAGCGGGCACCCGGGCTGGTCGTGTCAACAGAATCATTCTTTTGTAGTGTGTCGAACGCACAACACGGTGCGTTTCGGTGTTTACCGTTTTTTAACTCAGCGTAAGTGGCGTACGGGGTACGCGCGTTTAACGATATTATGCCAAAAGTGCTAGTGGGTGACGTTGAACGGGACAAGATAAGGAAGTTGCAGAGACGATTGAGGAGGATGAAAGAATCATGTCGTGAACATGATTATGAGTATTCCTGCCGGGAGCAGTCACATAAAAAGAAAGACCGTGAGTCTAGAAAATCACGTCGAGTACGTAGAAAAAAATTTTCCACCCCGTCGGATTCGCATTCAAGCAGTTCGTCCCCGGTTAGATCTAAGCGATTCCGAAGGATCATTTCTTCGGACGACGAGTCGAGTAGCTCGGAGGAGAACAGGAGGGTTAATGATTTTCCTCCCTTGGACACATTGGGAGATGACCTTTTATGCTTATTAGGTCCCAATTTAGCTAAGACCGAAAACAGGGGTCCGAAAATTCGGCCAGAATTGGCAGACCGATGGATGGCAATCCTTACACAAGGTTTATCTACGGAGGATCGAGACTCGATTATAGCGGAATACCCTATTCTAGACAACTGCGTCAAATTGAACCCACCTAAGCTCAATAATGTCGTCAAGGCTGCATTCACAGATTCAGCAACACGACGAGACATACGTCTAGCTCTATTACAAACTCAAGTGGGAGCTGCTATCACCGCTCTAGGATTGGCTCTCACAGACCTATTACAACAAAATGAAGGGGGGGGGGGGGCAATCGGATAAATATAAAGAGACTCAGTGATGCAGGTCGTCTTCCCAGTTCCGAGCTAGCAGCCGTCGCGAGTATACACTTGTGCGACTGCGAGCAACCCGGACTTACAGTGCGATCCTATTGTGATTTTCATCACGGTACGATCGCCATCCACGATGGCGAGAATAGAAAAGCTGGCGAGCCAGCTGAAGCAGAAGGAGGAGAAGTTCGCAATGCTTGCTGAGCAGATGAAAAATCTGCAAGAAGCATTCGAGCAGGCGAGGAATGAGATAGATGAAGTAAAAAGGAAGCTCCTCAAAGCGA